TGTAGGGCTGAATGCTCAGGCTGTCTCTGATGCAGTGCTTCCTGCTTCCAAAACTAAAGACAGAAGAAAATACTGTACCTCCCCTGACCAAAAGACTGGCTCAGTACTGCCACCCAGTCTGCTGTTCAATAATTGAAACAATTGAACCGAGCCAAGAGTGCCCAATTTGCAAATGTGAGTGAGGACTTATGAACCACATTCTAATCTGAATCCTACAAACAGAAAATCTTAGCACTATGTCAGTTGAAACATCAATTAATTCCGTGGGTTTTTCTCTGGAGAAGGTACACTTGCCCAGCTGGACCAACAGCAGGTTGAGTTACTCGGGCTGTGCCAATACCCCCGAACCAGTCACAACGCTGGTAAAGGGTGGAGCTCACCAAAAACTTATTTCTCATCTATGTTCTTTCTTTCCGAAGATGACCGGTACAACTCAAACATGACTACAGGATCACTTCATAGCCTTTGTATTTCTCTCTGTTCACCTAAAAGCATTAACCCTGCAGCTAATCCTCCCAGGGGAGAATTATACCCTACAGCACTGTGGTAGGAGCAGCCTGATCTGGAACACGCTCCTGTCACTAATGTGACAGTCAGACGGATAAGAACTGTTTCTCAGGATAAAGTATCTGGGAAACAGGCTGGTGAACAGTGGGTTATGGCCCTCCGCCAGTTCACATGCGAAGATAGCTTACAGACCTTGGGCTTCTGGGAAAGGGAAACAGATGTTTCAATTTGCACAGACTGTATCTCCCTATTCTTTATCCACCACAGTTCTTAATCAAGTATTCACTATCCAATGCACGGGCACAGGGCCCCCAGTGAACATTTATGGCTTGAAAGATGAATTTATATTAATGCATTACTGCCCATGTCTTCTGTTCCAGCAAATCAAATTGAAAATGCTTTAAGTTGTAACTCCGTGATCTGGAGAATTGTTTCTTATTACATGATGAAAGCACCTACACTTAAAATACAGACACACATGCATTCACTCTTAGGCTGTATTGCTCCTGGTGCTTGGAAAAAAATTATTCCATTCATCTGTTTTGAAAAACAGTTTTACTGATTTACTAAGGAATCATTACTATTAGCATGAGATTAGTAGATATTTTAATGAAAACCTAACAGCTGTCTGAAGCCAAATTCCTTAGACTGTAGATGCTCACACCTACTGTCAGCATGGTTTCTGAATGAGGGGAAGGAAGAAGAAAAAAAAAAAAAAAAAAAGCAATTGCTTTATGGACCATTTGTAGCCTGTGGATTATAGACAAAATAAACTATCTAGGCAACACAAAGAGATTCTGGTCTGTTCTCTTTGTTTTCTAAGTGCACGATAACAATGAACAATCATTCACAAAAAAAAAAAAAAAAATTCTACTCCCACAACAGCAGTGTGATTGAATTCAGAAGCAAATGCCTATCATCTCCCTGTGTAACAGTCATGCTGGCCTGAATTTTACGTAACCTGGGGAGGAAAGACAGGTTGAAAGCTGGTCTCTCCGTGGCTGCTACTGTGGTTGGAAAGTTTTCACCCCAGCAGTTTTTTTGACAGAAGATTCCTTCCCATTGCAGTATCACCACTTTATACCTAAAATGCTTCACAGTTAGGTAATGATCATACTGCAGTGTAACCTATCTAAACCAGGTCAATTTAAGGTTATGAAATTTCAGCTTTCTAATGCTACAGAGATTCTGCTACAACAAACACATTTTCTAGTTGCATCTCCACTATCTATTTTGCACTTCTTTATTTCCCAGGATATTTCTAAATGAAAATTTTAGGAAGATCAAATTTTCTTTCCCAACAAAATCTTTCACATACTCTGGACAAGAGAATCTGCCAGCTCTTTGACAATGTTACAATTTTATTTGTAGCTCTGAATTATTTAGCAATTACAGAGAAAGCAACTTTATTGTATGATTCACTGCAGTAGGGATGGACGCTAAGCATCAAAATGTGTATTCTAATGTACAAAACATCCTAGGAATGCTAATATTCAGTATTGGCAATGAGCACTTTAATTACAGTATGCATGTTCTTAGCAACGATTTAAAAAAATCTGTTGGGTTTTTTTTTTTCTTTTTTTGATGGGCTGCTAATTTTCAGAATTCTAGAGGAAGTTCAAGCTGGGCATGAAAAACTCGATTATATACACAAAGTTCTTACAAGTAAAAAGGATTGTTCCAAGGTTTCAGCTTTACCTGACAAGTTACCTTCAAAACAAATCAGGACTTCTGTCAATTCAGCAGAAATAAACAAACATATATAACCAGCATTATGTACAAATATATTACAAATATCGTGAATATGGCCCAAACTAAACACAAAAAAGGATATGTTCATAGTGCGACAGGCACATTCATCTTAATGCGGAGGAACAAGGAATAATGCTTTATTGAGTTTATCCAACTTTGTGTATTTAATCAAATACATTCTACAATGGGTTTCAGGTGTGACTAATGACTTCAGCAGACTACAGCAAAAACATGCTATCACACACATACTAATTTACTCCAACCTGTATGTATAGCATACAGCTATAACTCATCCTAAATGACTATAAAGGGAATATGGCCTCAGGCTACCCAATGATGTCCAGAGATGACAGATCACCAAAAACCAGCAAAATAAAATGGAAATAATAGAAACTTACTTCACAACAAAGGCTGTTTCTTGCTCTTTATATAATCAAATTACTACTACTGAACCAGCAAGCTCCATGGCACAAATCACCCAAGGCATGCAGGCAAGATTCAGTACAAGAGGCAACCTTTATTTAGTTCCCTCAAAGGCCAAGGAAGTGATCCTTTCCCATGAACAGCAAAACCAGTAACACCTGGTTTTCTATGGATGTACATCTTGAGACTCATATGTGGATATATACGTATTTAATAAAGGCTGCTTCTTTCCTAGCAGTGGATGAAATAGCAATCTCTCCCAATGCAGACCTTTTTTCACAGAAATTAATAAAAAATTAGCATCTGAGATTTCTATCCATCTGTCAAAACCAACAGAAAATGACCCAGGGGAAAAACAGGAGGAGGAAAAGACAAGCAGATGATGTAATCACTTAAGCCCTTTTCACTTAGGAAATGAGAAAGTTGACTGAAAAGATTATGATTAGAACGGCATTTTAACTGAAGCTACAAAGATTGTTATAGGTTTTTTCCTCTGGAATGCACAAACGGGTAAAACCCCCACCTACTTTGCTATAAAGCACTTCTAAGAAGTAAACTTAAGTCAACCAAAAACATCTCTCAATGACTTCGTTCTTAAAATTCAGAAGTGAGAGTGCTTGCAGACATTAACTTGAAACCTTACTGTAAAAGTCACCATATCAATACTGAAGTGAATTGGGGGAAATGTTACAATTCTCACAGAATATACATGAATAGCTGCCAAAAAATTAGTGCGCTCACTGACTAAGCCAGTCAATGAAGAAATAATGTTAATTTCAACAATCAGAAACAAGCATTTGGAATTTGGAGAAAAATAAGAAAATTAGCATTGGATAAGCAAAAACTTAAAACAAAGCTTCCCAAAGTCTCTTGAACAGTAATACTTGAATTGTTTCACAATTAAAGAGGTCAGTGAAAAGATGCCTTTATCTGACACCTTCTTAAAAATTACACAGGAATTTCCTGAATTTTAATGACTATGCCCGAGTCATTCTGTAATTTCTTTTGGAGTTTCTTTAATCCTAATCTAAAAGAGAATCTTTTAATGGTTCTTAGCCCTCTTTGGAAAACGACACATTTCCATTTTGGTTTGTTAACTTTATTATCTAACATTAATTTCCTTATTTCTTCCCTGTTCTAAATGCACATTTAAAAATGCAGAGGAAACAGACAATGAACAAAAAGTAAATAATCCTTTTAAATAATTTCCTTGATTTTTAGTTTCTCCAGCATACATTCTGATGTACAAGTTTTTACAATGACTCCTCTCCCCCCCCCCCCCCCCCTTAATTTAAAAATCCTGGATAAATCGATAGACCCACCTTCTTTCTCCCAAGTAAATGGCTTAACAGTCTTTAGATCAAACCTGAGATTAACATAAAAATTTAGGAATTTGAAGACAACCTCCCCCCAGTGCAAGAAACTATATAAATAATTAATACAGCTAGTTCACAAATTCTTGGAATCATATCAGCATTACATGTTTGGAGTCTTGGAATTCCAAGCATAACGGAATGCCTGACAAATAAAAAATTTTTGGCACGTACACCCTACTGTAGCTTATCCAGACCTGTTTCCCCAATCCCATATTTGATATAAGGCTTTGAATGAAGATTTAAAATCTTACAAACTATGCATATTGGTATGTTTGCTATAAAGCAGTAACTGCAAAATTTTACATGCTTCTTTAACAAAGGCATCATTCTAACTGTACCTTTTATACACTCAAGGAACAGGGAAGTGTTCTGTTTTTCTTCTCCAAGGGAAATGACAACAAAGCAAGCACAAGGGTGGCTAGTATTCATAATGAGACTCATAAATAAAGGAAATTATGTGCACAGTTATTCATAAGGTACTTTTCCTCCTTTTGTTTACCATCCTGTAAAGTTCCGTTCATTAAAAAACAGGAAGAGAAGGAAAGGCTGAAGGCAGTCAGGACCATTGCTGCTGTAGCATTAGTTTTACAAAGACTAGAAAAATGTCTAAACAGTGTATCTTCTTGAATAGACTCAGTGAATTGCACAGAATGTGACTGAAAGCTGTTAAAATGCTATTCTTAAATTCTTCCCAAAAATCCAAGTTTCAAAACATATTTAGATTTTCAAAATTAACCGCTCAAACAATGCAAGATAACCATCTGATTTCTGTGTGACAAATAGGGACAGAAATTTAAGTAATATTAAAAAAATGCTCTTTGCACAAAGTATACGTCAGAACAGTTACAGTGGATTGAGAAGACAACCAGTTATAACAAACAACTAGAGCAACCCCCAACTCTCCTGTCAAATTAAATGATCCTTATACGAAAAGTAAATTACCTCCATTGAGATTCGTCTGTGTATCCGGTTTCTGAGACAAACACCTGTGGGAGACTGAACTTCATCAGATGATGTTCCAGAAGCTTGGTCACTTTCACCATCTGACCCCATTTTCAGATTTTCATGAACAATATCTTAAAATTAATCCAAAGAATTGAAAACAGTTAATCAGCATGCCACCAAACATCTCTCTTGTACAGATGGAAAACAACTGTATCGTTACTGTGCATTGGGTTATATGGCAGTCAAAGATTCATCACAGCCATGGTAGTCTCCATACACTACTTTTGGCTCAGGAATCACAATATGAACACAATTACTTTATAGGGCTTCTACACAAACTTTATCATTATTTTTCTTATTTGGTTTGCAGCACAACTCAATTTTCCAAAACAAAAGACAGACATTCCAATCCAAATTTTATTTCCTATAAGCCTCCTTCCCCTCACAGCTTCAGTTCCCAAACTCCCCCACTACCTCTTCTCTTTTAGCTGCTCTTGGATATAAAACATTACTGGAATATTTAACGTTCTCAAATCCGACTACCTGATGTTAGTAACCTAAATGTATCTTCAGAAAGCCTAAAAAAACTTGAGGTATAGATACTATTTTCAGAAATGCCAAATACGGACACTTCAGCTATAAAAAACACTGGTGTGCAAGCGTGGAGGAAGGGGATGTATTCTGGCCACCTAAATAGAGGCTTACAAAGTACAAGTGGATTCTTCAGAGGAACCTGATATTTAGGAGCAATTAAGTGAAATTTCTGACCGTATGAAGGAATTAAGGTAACAGACTGTCTCAGTCATATGACGTTACAGGATATTTGTGTCAACTGAAATTGGTACTTTTAACACAATCCTGTAGATTCATCCACACAAAAGACCTTATGTATACTATGTATATACATATACATTACTTTTGAGCACCACAGGATCTTCCAGACTTTGGAAGACAAACACTGTAATGAATGAAGAGAAGATCAAGGTGGTGTCATTAATAGCAGAAAGAGCCAAATGACTTGCAAAAGGACACAATGGAAAATCGGTCATACAAGCAATTCAGTATGAGTGATGCTCCATCATCACCTCTGAAACAATCACTATATAGATTAAATACTTATACATATAAACGAAATGTTTGAAAAGACATAATTTTCCCTGCCCTCTCCCAATCCTTGGTATTAAGCATTACCTTGTATAGGGTAAAAAAAGAACCTGAGGAACAACTAAATATCTCAGAACTCTACCCCTAAAAAATGCTAATATTAGCAAAACACACAGAACTCAGTTCAGCCTTGTCACCAACATTTAACATTTGCACAGCATTACAGTAATTAAAAATTAAAAAAAAAAAAGAAAAAAATGCACGTTTTATCACTATCAACATGCAAGAAAGCTGAATTTTCTAGAAAAAAAAGCCTTTAGGCCATCATTTGGTTATCAGCACATCTTCTAAAATGTTTGTCTAGTTTGGCTCACATAGAATAATGTAGACTGCAAACGATCAAATTCTTCCTCAGTACAAAGAATTTCCTTTTACAGAACACAGAATGTATATAAAAATATTAACTTGTAAGGTATTGGGACCATGTATTTTAACTCAAAGTATTGTAATTAAACACAGAAACTATGCATAGTTCTCATGTACAAAGCAAATTTTCCAGCAGCAATGTGGATCTAAATTGGATTTCAATTAAAAAATCCACATTGCATCAGAGTTCTCCCTGCAAGTCATGCTCAGATTTGGACTGAATGAAAAAAAAATAAGCTGCATTCCTTGCATAATAAGAATCAATCTTCTGGTTTCAAACAAGGGAAACACTCATCAGTGCTTCTAAAGGCATGGCAATTTGAAAGAGAGGAAAAGATTTTCAGAAAGTGGTCCCTAAAGATCAGCCTTAACCTTAAGCTAAGCAGATAAAATGTGACTCTTGCTCCACGTCTCTAAGAAATGTCTCTAATTCTCTCTAGTGACTTGACAGCTGTCTTTTTAAAAATCTCTAGCTAATTGTAGGAAATTATTTTTAGTAATACAAAAGCATTATTGAAAACACTATTTCCAGTAAAGCTGTTATGCCAGCATTGGTGTATCTGGTAAACAGCATATTCACCATATCAGTTCTTTAATGAAGATTCTCTTAAAATACTTTTCTGAGAGGTCATGTAATCCATTTTAGCAATCACAGCTCTCGATTCTGTTTGTAAAATTAAGTGTAACAATTACTGACAATTATTCCCCAATCTATTTATCCTTATGTTAGCAAAAGCCCATTGATTGGGCCCCAAAGTCTATTTTCTTCAGAGAAGCTAGACAAGAGACAGTTATCTGGGAAACCTCAGAAAATAAGACTGATGAAATTAAAGTAGTATTGTATTTTAAGCCACAGAGCAATTACATAATTTCTTTTCTAAAAAGACTGACACTTATTAAAGTAATCATGTAGTTGACACTGTCATACTTTTTCTCTTAAAACACAATGTTCAATTCACGGAAGTGTAGGTATTATGAAATTACTATAAAAAATGACACTTTGAAATGCAACACTCAGAACTACAAAGAACATCCTAGTTGACAAAGATAATTCTCCAAAGACCACCTATGAAAAAATACACAACTAAGTACTATTTCAAGAACTAGTAAGAGAAAAGCATACAGTAGGGGCAGATAACGTAGCTGCAAGGAGATTCTGCTCTTTTTCAATCAGGAATGTGAAGACAAAGTGAATCTGTACCACTTACATCTAAAAATGCAGTATTTCAGACTTAAACAAGATGATGGTCCATCTATTTTGAATACTGCTGTGATATGATTAATTCTGGTAAGTCTGGATAAGTTGCATACCCATAACCAAGAGGGTTTAAGCAGGATACTGGCTGTACCATCCAAAAATCTATCATTAAGCACATGCCTGAATTTCTGGTGGACTAAATACCCAATTACTCCTACCTATAAAGAGTTTGCAGATGTTTTAATTATATTATAAATAGGGAGAACTTTTAAGCTTTTAAAAAAAATCTTGGCTATGTTATCATCTAATATAAATGAATCCTTTTATTTTATTCAATTAAAAAAGCATTAGTAGAGCCTTACGACCATTACTTTAACAGCATAAGCCCAGGAATAAGGTATTAACCTAGTCATTTTAATAATTTCATACAGGTGCATGATGATAATATTTGATTAAGCAATGACGAAAGTCATGCAAATATTTCCTTAATTTCACTAAGCTTTTGTATAGGCAAGTTCACCTGCACCAAAGCAAGCTTGCATGGTCTTCAGAGGTTTTAATGGTTCAGTAATTTATTGAATTGCTTTCACTGAATACCCAAGCCATTCTCTTACACAGATGTTTATTTTAATGTACTCTACGTATCTAATTAAATATCCAGTATGGCCACATAATGAAAAGCTGTAGATGACTACAATGTAACAGAAAAACTATGGAAGTACATTTAAAAAAAAAAAGCTGTCCACATTTCAGCTGTGAGGAATACACCACAGAAGAAATTCATACAGGGACTACAGTGCAGCAAATGAGAACTCCTCCAAGTGAGCTAAAATAATATCTACTAATTAGTCAGTAGTGAGTCAGACTGCATGATCTTTCCATCTTATTTCAAATTACTACAAAAATAATCACATGACTTGCATATTGGATTACTTCCAGGGTGCAATTTTCCAAAGCTTACTTTTCTGTGAAGTGGCTATATTTTATGATTAGTTTCACTAATCGAAGGCCCTAGCGAGAAACTGCCTTTGCCATTACATTACCAAACTACGAAAGCTGTATGGAAACACCATTCCTTTCAATTCCAATGTTTACGACAAAGAAACAAAACTTCTCCATGACTATATCAACACAACTGGCAAAAGCAGGGATAAGCTGTCCCCTGCATGCTACTGAGGTTCACCAGGAGAGTCAGCTCCAGTTGGCTTTGCACATTCCAAGCGCCTCTCCAGTGTTCCCAGTAATATAAATATGGAACAAGGACAAGCAAGTTGGCTCTGCATTCAGCCAAGTCAGGTCCAAAAAGGGTTTATTAGCTCTGGCTCCGCCATGGACTGCAGCAGTTAAATGCTTCTGGAGGTGCAAGAGTTTAGAAACTGCATAGACAAATGTGAGCTAAAAAAACCTCAGCTAGACCTTCATTCATGTCAGTGGCATGGCTGATTCACAATTTGGCCTGAGAATCATCTATGTTACTTAAAATCACCATGATAGCAGAATACTAAATTTAAAATTACTACTAAACTTTAAACCAAGGCACACTTTTTAGAGATCAGTTCAGAATTTTTGTCTTTACAAAAAATTTTACAAAACTTAAAGCTAAAAGTGATGTTTCCAAGTAGAAATTGTTTTTGAAGTATTTTGGGATTTTCCATGTTACCACAACAGTAGGAACTCATGTTAGGTGCTCAGAAAACAAAACCCCAAAACCTTCCCAGGAGTCTCAACCCATTTTTATATTGATAATCTCATTTAAAAACAAGCAGCATGAAGATGCACCTGTGGTATGTCTCACTTTAACCTGTTTTTTAACCAAATAACCATCCTTTAACTGCCATCACTTTGTGGTATTTCAATGATATCTCTCTGATAGCATTTTTCTACCACTGGAATAGAGGAAAAAGTGGAAAGAAAAGATGATGAATGAAGAAAGCAAAGAAAATAAAAAGTCTTATGTAGTGTACCATATTTGACCATTTCATTTCTGATGTTTATTCCAACAGATTAGAACTCAGCACCCTGCTGAGTAATAACCATTCTCATATGCAGGAACAAAAGGAGGAAAGACATGAAGAAGGGGCAAAAAGCTCATTAGTAATTATGCTTGTATATGGCTGTACTTGTGTTATCTACCACTAAATAACATGTACAAGTAGCTTAAATTTTAATCAAATTAGGAGTTTAAAGAAGGGCATCATTAATGACATCATTGCATCCAAAGCAAAAAGAAGTGTTCAACATATATATACATACGCTCTGTAAATCTATTCCATACTGCTTCAATGAAATTACAAATTCTACAAGAATCTGTAGCTATTTAAAACATGGTATTATAATACTTTCTGCAGACTAACATTAAAATTGTGAGTGCTATTTAAACACTTGATCACCTGAGAAAAATAAAACTAATGGCATTCTTTTGCAATACTTAAGTATTTTTTTCAGGTGAAAAATAAAGCTTTGAGAAAACTGGAAAATCATTACAAGAAACAAAAAAATATTTATGAGTTTTCCTTTTGCAAAGCTGATTTGAAGTTCACAGTGAAATTTTGAAGAGGCATAAGTTATTGGTAAATTTACATTTTAAAATGCTTTAGATTGTTTTTAAAGGTAACACACAAGAACATGAGTACAGAAGTATACATCTCTGCTGTTCCTGTACACAGTTTATATACATAATCCATAAAAGACTAAATAGTCCTAACCAGAGATTTAAGTACACTATTTATTTATTTATTAACTTTGTCTTCCTGTTAGATTCTTGGCAACTTAAGCCGAGATTGGCTAGGCAAAAAAGAAAAAAAAAAAAGTGTGTAGGACTTGAATGAAACTGTGCACACTAAAATCTGTTTTATTCTGTGGTAACAGCTGCTCAAGTCCATTCAAGAGGACAGAATTCTTTTTTCAGTTTGAATGGTAGCACAAACAGCAAAAAGGCAAGGTTTTGAACATGATAGTGATATTACAGCAGAGGAGAATAAGTGGTTTGACTACTATCTTGAAGACTCAGTGGTTAATCTTGAAGGAGATCAATTTATCACACAGTTCTAAATGAGGGCAGAAGATTGAAAAATTCATAAAATTCTAATTAAAGTGTGACTTGCTCTCATTTTCTAGTACCAATTAAGCATAATTTAAAATAACACAAAAGCAGGGTAAAACATTAATGGTGACTGGAGGCAGCAACATGACAAATTACTTGAAGGAGAAGAAAAAAAAAATTCATAACTTACTTGCCCCACAGAACCACAAATATAGCTTGGGACCACAACAAAAAGACAATTATATTTCAGTGGCCTTAATTTATCACTGAAAAAAAAGGAGTTTTTTTTCTTGTAATAATGAAAAATCTAAGTAACACACCAGTTCTTTTTAAATTCCACATACAGGATGATTATCCTCTGCTTTTATCATATTCAATTTATTGTAGTTCTCACCAGTGTTTAACTGAGATGGACACACAGATTTCTTGCAAAGTATTAAGAAAGAATATTTTGTAACTTCGCAACTTGTCAAAAATTCACAGGTGATTTCTGTGTTTTTGTAACTGCTTTCTTCCTGAAAATCTTAAGAGACATTCAGTACCTTAAAAACAAGTTTCTCAAACAACTCCAGTAAAAGATTACTGCATTCCCAGAGATTCATTAAAACATTAGAATAACCATATCTCTTACTAAGAATCAAGACAGACATCATTCTTCATCGAAAAATGCACTTAAACAAACAATGTAGTATATTACCTAATCTGCTCCCATTTCTGGGCATTGCCATGAAGGAGCCGAGGCTGCCCCCTATGACGCTATGGGGTCTCCGTAAAGGGGGCTTCTTGAAAGATCCTGTGTATTGGTGGAGGAATGAGTGCATGCTGTGAGACGTTGGAGGCCTGCCATTCTTCACAATAGGCTCTACAAGTCACAAGGGTCAAAATATTCATTCCCACAAGCAAGTAGGAGTGTCAGGAACATGCCAGAAGGGGAAAAAAAAGAAAAAAAGAAAAAAATTGTTACTAGACAGGTAATCACCACTCTGGTAAGATTCTCTTTTATACTAACAGTAGACGATCATACTACTGCCGTTTCTCTATTAACAAATTAATACAAAACATGGCATTAAGTATTACCCAAATTTCATTTGATTAAATTCTGCCACTCTGCTGCTGGATCAGTAAATGACCTGAATATATAGCCTAAAAATGTGAATAAAACCGTAACATAGCTTTTAATATCAGTATAATTATTTTCTTCTGAATTAGTGATTTGTCTTATCGCATAATGTTTCATCTTGTCAAGAATTTAAACAGACCAGCTGTTAGATCAACTCACATGATGAGCAAATTCAACCACAAGCCTTTGGAAATAATCTGCCTCTCAAAACTCTTGAGGGTCCCTAGTAGCAAGGCCTTGCTACTGGAAGTCCTTACACGGAAACATACCTGTCTATACCCACCAAAGCTGCCATGCCATAATTAAGGTTATTAACTTAAAGGACATTAAAATAATTAAGTATTCAATGAGTTATTATTTTGGCTTTCTATTGGATTGTGTCTCAAGCAGTTCACTATACTTAGACTTAAAACCAGGATTGCAAGGTTTTTTAAAAAAAATTATTATTACCATTAAAGATATGTGTTATTTGGCATTATCTGGAAGACAGAAAAGGCAGCAGCGATGCATTGAAGCAACCACAGTGTGAGTGCTACTGACTGGAGTGGCACCCTGAGGCACTTCTGGAACCACTGCTCCCTGGGGGTAAGGGAGCCAGGATCTGCTCCCAGCTTCACTCACACCTACTGGGACGGGGAGCAATCTGGGATGATATTTCATCACCCTGACTTCTATTTTCACCTGCAGAGACACCAAAAATCATGCCTTCCATTCCCCAATGGGATAAGAATAATAATATAGACAGAAGTAATTATTTTATGGAAAGCAGAACTTCAGTGGTGAGGGAAATAACAGCAACAAATACGTAGTAACCTAAGGAAAACAGAATCCTGAAGGGAGCCCCCTCCATCCCCACACGTACAAAACCCTTTTGTATATATTATTACTATGACAGGTCTGAAGCAAAGATGCAGAACTACACAGAACTACCCAGGGACAGTCCAGTGACTTTAAAAAATAATTATGCAACGTATTTTTGCATATAAACATGAATAATAAAGACAAAAAAAAAAATCACCACTTTAACTCAGCTGCTGCAGGAAAAAAAAATAAGCCCTTCTCCCCTCAAAAAATGCTTCAGGCAGAAAACAGTGTGAAACGACAGATCAGCACTGTTATGAACGTGCCTGCATCTTTCAGTTAGCATCCCTCATTAACACAGCTTCAAAGGGGATGAACATGAGGAAAAAATACACCGTATGTCCATGTATACGTTCAAGAAGTATAATCAGTGTCTTCATCTTCAAAACTCTGCATATCTCTGTCCCAAATCCTTATTTCTGTTTCTAACACATTGCATCATCCCTTCTGATTTAAGAGTGGTATCAGCTTCTTTGTTGTGTGTCTTCAACAGCAGATTTATCCTAGGGCAGCAAGGCAGGCAGCAAATTCTCTCACCAACTTTTGAATAGAATCTATTACTATTTCCACATGACAGGAAACAGGTTCACATATAGCACAACTACTGCTTTTGCTTTTTATACATCAAAATCTGCGCTCTGCTTTCCAACTTTCTTACTAGTCTTTGATTTGAATTTGATCTTGTTTCTAGACTAAAAACCTTACCCTCAGTTTATACAAAGTGCTGAAAAAATTAATGGTAACACTGAAAATCCAAATACCTGATGAGTACATAGTTTGTTTTGCTGAGACAGTCATAACCAGTTTTAACTATGATGTTTGGTGGGTTTTAGTACCTAGCTTGCATAATTCTAAAGTTACTCCTTCACTTGTATTCCTTATGTAAGCAATAAACAATATATATTAAGCATGTACTTTTACTTTATTTTAATTGTTTCTAAAACTAAATTTTTATGAAAAAAGAGAGCCAACTCAGAGAGATGTTTCTTCTGGGAAACGAAACTCTCCTCCCTTTGACCAAGCCCTGCTACACCAAGAAAAGCAAAAGTTCCTCAGTTTTTTGTTTTGTTCTGAAGCCCTAATAATAATAAATCTAGGAAGAAAGTTCTCAGATATTTTATTTTTCTTTGTTAGTATAGAAATGTACTGCTAAAAACAATCACTCAAATATTTTTTTAGCTCCACCACTAGTGTCAATAGTCTTACACTTTGGAGGGGAACTTAAACCCTGAGCAAAGTGCTGAGACAAACTGATGCTTGGTAACTTAAAACGTGTCTCCCATGCTAAGATGACTGTGTCTCACACAAAAATGCAAGTTCTGTATCAAAGTAAACATTACTTTTCTCATCCTAATGAGAAACGGAAGATGTCAGGATACATCTCAACAAAGGTCGGAGAAGCACCGAAGGCAGGAGAGGAAGGGGCAAGGCCTTATGGCTGGAAGCAAAACTGCCTGTGAGTGTGACAGTACGTGCCCCAGCCATCCTGGCCACCCATACCCACACCTCTACATTCACAGTTGCCAAGGATTCCAGTACCAGCAACCACACCGGAGTGTATGTGCACATGTGGACTATAGCTGCACTCACAGAGCACAAGAGTTGAAAATTTCCCTTGTATATCATGGATTTTATCTACTCATGTTAAAATGAATCTATCTCCAGAACTGTGTAGTGCATGAAAAAGACCAGTTTATGAATGCACTGAATGATTAAGTAGAGATTGAGCTTTATGTTCATTACTAACGTAACAGTGTGATGAACAGAGATGATAGTTTAAAAAATTTGTTTTCCTCATGGCCCTGGAACATTTTACACACATTTTACAGTTTAAAACTCCTAAAATATCCTAACGTATAAAAAGCTCAGCTCAAATATAAGGATAAACACAGATCACATTAATAAGCAAAAAGCAAATGTATATAAAAATGAAACACAAATGGTTAACATAATAAGATCCAATTACACAGAAATAACTGTTGCCATCATAGGCAACTATCACCTTTCTGCATTGTCGTGAGTACTGTTCTAAATTATGGAGCCCATTAAAAAATCTAGCAACAATAATTTAGGTCATACAGTAGAACAGGCATAACTACCAACAGACAATGAAATGAAGGTTACAAAAACTCTCAGATTACTAGTATACTTCTGACTAAGAGAAGTATTAATAGTACTTGCTTACAAATGTTTTTAAAAATCCTAGTACACATTAATTTACAAAAAGGAGGGAGATCATATGGCATTTTATGATGGTATAACATGCAGACTTATGGTCTGGAAAAGTATTTTTGTTATATACAGTTAAGTTTGCATTGTTGTATGCTAGAAGTTTTTAAAGAAATGATCACATGAATTCTGTATTGTGTGCCGTCTCCTCCCTGCAAATGTGGCAATAACAACTAAGAGCTGGAACAAATACTGAAAAAGATTGAGCCAACTCTTGCTGGAATTAAGTTTACAAGACTGTTTATTATTATTTTTGTGCATTTATGAGATGCAAGATTTAAAGAAAGTGCTTTTGAAAAAAGTACTTAACTCCCTCTGTCTGCAGATCCCTAAATACTTCCTCCAAAGTTACAATTTCATTTAATTCACTTAAAGAATTAATTTGAATCACTACATTTAAAGGGTAACGCTGAAGTTTTTAAGGTGTGAATTTAGTGCAACTGCTTAGTCTTGAATAAAAATGAGTCAGAATTGTAAAAGTTAAATGCCTTTACTACATACATCTATAAACTGCTTCTTATAATTCTATCTCTGTGATTATAGGTTTAGTTTGCCTTTAAAAAAATGTTTCCCTATATACAACTCACAAACATTCCTTACATTAGTGTCACCGTACTTGGTAAATATAACTCAGTAACAACTCAGAGGCTTAGCTGACATGATGGAGGTGTTTCCAGTAGCACAGTAGGTGTTTTCACAGTGCTATTGGTTTAATATTCAGCCACAGACAAAATGAATGATAGAAACTGAGAGTAGAAAACCACCAGAAAATCACTATGCAAGTGTATGGATCTACTGCATTTCAAATATCGTGCTCCGTTCTGGTTTTCCTCTCTCACATAGATTAATACTGTAAAGTATGATACAACCCACAGGCTTGTAGGTGGGCTGGAGGGGGCACCTGGGAATCAGCTGCATCCTCCACCTCCCCAGCACAAGAGCAGGGGTCAGCGAAAAACCCAGCCACAGCAGGTCGCATACGGCACACGGAAGTGGTTCTTCGTACCCCACAGCCCGTGGAAACTCCCCACCACAGGATGTTACAAGTAGCAGAAGCTTACGAGAGTTGAGGGGAGGCTGAACAAGAAATCTCAGGGTTGCAGGGACTTGCCGAGATCAGGAAGTCTCTGAACGAGAAACCGGTACAGTACTCTGGGGAAATGGTGTTATATTTTGGGCTCTAATCTTAGACTTGCCCTCAAATGTCATCCTCAGAGACTGGAGAACAGACAGGCAGAACTCCAGCCGTCCTTACGGCCCAAGACTCCTGCAGCACCTGGGCAGTTCACTCACATCGGCTCACGCTGGTGCAGCCACTCCAGCAACGGCCTTACTCGTTATTTAACTCTAGCTCTCTTTCCTCACCCTGCTCTATAATCTGTAATTCCAAACTGCTAATACTTACAAATATGGACAGCAAGCTGAATGAAAGACTTCTCAGTGGTTCTTTTTATATTTTTTATATACACATACACACAAACACACACACACACATATATATAAACACACGTTTTTTTTTAATGCTATATCCATGTTATGTTGCTTAAGCGTGCATCTTCAGCAAGGTTTAAAATTGGGCAATGCATGGTCACTGAGCACTGCTGTATTACTTGATTTTCAAGCTTGGTGAATGTTGAGCTGCTGGTTTATTTCATTTGGATCATTTTCTTGTATTTCTTGCATTCTATCATCCAAACTTCCGTAATTATTGGCATAAAGCAAAATAACTACAACAGCACTATTCAAAGAAAATCCTGTTTAAAATACAACCACCCTGGCTTACTAATGTTGCTAGACCATGTTGCTGATCTGTTTTAGAACATACACACATATTTTAAGAAAATACAGTACCCAGTAAGGTACTACTGCTTTGCTAATTTTGAAATAATGCCAACACCAATGCTTACAAACATACAAGAACAGAAAATAACTCAAATCAGTTGCTGAAATCTTTCAATTGTGAAGTGACAGAAATTTATGCTTGAACATAAGTGGAACTCATTTTTTTATTTCATAATTATGAGAAGTGCCAGAGTCAAGTACAGTAATAGTGCATATAACAAAGAAGCCTGTCCAAGGAATTAGTTAAAAGCAACTATTTTATGAGGTTATAAAGGGGCCTCCTCTTTTTCCTTTAACTGCAATTTAAATTAACCACAAACCCTGACCTGAAATTACTCCCAAGTTAAGCAATTTTTCAATAAATCCCCAGTGTTTCTTTTCGTTGTCCATCTATCTTAACAAAGAGCCACACTACCACTTTCTTTCCTGTGCTGGATTTACTTAACTGGATTTACTTAATCTGAGCTCTAGAGCGCCTGCAGAATTGCCTGGCGTTTCTTTGCAAGGCCAAAGCAACTGACATGCTGTCACACGTCAGTCAGCTTTCATTAGGAATGTAAATGCATTTTAAAACACATTGTATGAATATGTAATACCACATATTCAGCTACCTCTTCTTCTTTTTTCACGTCCCATGAGGATCTCTATTATGTGACAAAAGGACTAAGCTGGCTTTCAGATTTCACTGCCTAAATTTTAGAATGGTATTTGCTTCAGCTAGCTTTAATAGAGAACCAAAGTCACCTGTCGTACACAGTGACATTTTCCCTTAAATCAAGCATCTCTAATAAGAGCTGAATAAATCTGCAAGAAAATGTATTATTTGGTAACCACTATCCATTCTGGACATGGAAATCATACAAATACATAAATATATATTTTAATTTCATACAAATAAAGTACACGAGGAGTTTTTTCTAATAAAAATAAGACAGATATTGGACACATGGCATTTATGATCTCTGATTTGAGTATATAATGGGGATTGAACCCAAGCATGCTCCATATTCTAAGTAAGGATGAACTTTTGGTGTGACTGCAAGCCTGTCACAATTCACTGTTGCTACCAAAAAGGTGGCTCAAGGTCCTCCCCTAGCAAAAAAGTGTAATTTTGGTTTAGGTTTTTGAACTAGACCATCGCAGGGCATGCAGAGTGAAGGTGCTAACAGAAGGGTGGAGGCAGAATCTCATTCATCACTTCTAGCTGCAGCTTGACTTTGGACTGGCTCAACTGTAACAAAATCTCACTAAACACCCTGAGAATCAGCTACTGGTTTTTATAGGACAGAACTCTATGCAGTTTCTTTTCCACCCACCTTGACCTTACCCTTGCTCCAGAAAACTTCCAAGGTTGGTTGGTTGTTTTTTTTTTTTGTTGTTTGTTTGTTTGTTTTTTGTTTGTTTGCTTGTTTGTGGGTTTTTTTTGGTTGTTGTTTGGTTGGTTTTGTTTTTTTTTGTTTTTTTCTTTTCCATTTTGATAGAGAATGGGTACGTGTCAAAACTCTACATATGTGAAGCCAACTATTAATTCTATTAATTTTCTAAACAGCCTTATATTCATGAAGCTTGAAATGCATCACAATAACCTTTTAAAATTATTTCTATCAACTGTCTCAAATGCTACTGTCGTACAACTTAATCATATTTTGGCATCATCTGCTACGCATTCATTTAACTAATCTGAACGTATGCTCTGTTAATGATTACTCAATTTTTACATGTCTATTGGAAATAAAAGCTGATTTTTTTTTTTTGGACTCACATTACAAAATATTTTTAACAAACTGCTTTCCTGAAGAAACTGTTGTCAGTAAGTCCTTTATTTCTTCAGAAATCATAGAATGTAAGCAGCTGAATTTCTGACATTTTATCTTGCACTCTACAATATTTAATTACTCTGCTGTAAAGTTGTCAGACCCACTCAGTAAAATCAGTTGACTGTAGGTGATGGCTCCCATAGAAGAAATATTTAAATAACCCAAAGCTTCTATACATTTGCTCTATTTGTACTCTCAGGGAGCTACATGAGGAACACTGTATAAAATACTGTACATTAATACATTACTTTACGGGTTTGTTTCCTTGGACTCTGTTACACGAAACCCAGGAAAACATTAAGTCACTCTAAAAATAGAGCAACCACTCAATAGCACTTGTAACTGTATTTATTCATTGAATAGTAAGATGAAACATTCAAACTATTGACTATTACAGTATTAAACACTCAACAGAATCTCAAGTGATTCCATTGCTCAAAATTAATCCATCTGAGTACAGCAGACATATCCAGAGCAAATGTTCTTCACTTGGAAGACACAGGACAAAAAATATTGGTAACACGTTTGAAGAAATAGGTCAGTAGAAACCTACAGAAACACAGTCTTCAAGTTTCTCCCAGAAATTAAGTATCTCAATGACTAAAATGCGCTGCAATGTTCTGTAAACTTTTTTTTTTTTTTTTAATAAAGTTTGGGACAAAAAGGACAGAAATTTTTCCAAGGAGTCTGTTTAAACTACAAAAACAAGAGATAACACACAAGGCAAAAAATGAGATCAAGGCATCTTAGAAACACTACAAAAAGCCTTTCAAAGTTCACTTCACATATAATGAGGTTTTGCCTTCAGTCTAGATATCAAGACAAAGATCAAACAAATGAAATATACTCGAAGCCAAAAACCTGCCTTTGAGATTTATATATTTTGAGAATTATCTTTTAAACAGTACAAGATAGTACTTTTGGTCATCACAACATGTATTGGAACATAAGCACAGTAGTCCCATACCTCCAATCATATATGCACGATACCACCAGTTACTAATCTTCCCTCTAAAGAACATAACTCCAGAAGGCATCACACTACACCAAATCCTTCAGAAGACTGTTCCAGGTAAAACTTAAATCAACGTGAGTCAGCATTGTAGCCAAGATACACGTATCCCTGACCTCCATCCTTGTGTGACCATATATAAGTACTCTTTAGCTCTCAACACAACCATCTGTGAGGCCACACTGCCAACCAAATCAGGAAACAGAGGATCTGGCTCTCTTCTGCCCTGCTTTCAGAAATAACTGTGTTGGTGAGTTACGTGCATTTTACTTTTCTGTACTTAACAAGTCCATCTGAATGCCATTTGAGAACAAATCTCTCCATATTCATCAGCGAGGCTACGCTAGCAGAAATCTGGTGTATTTACAAAGTCCCATTCCGCATCTAAGCATCATATTCTCCTGCCAAACCTGTGTTCTGCTTGTGAAGAAAAACACTTATGAGTGGACAGCCCCCCTCCCCAGACTACAGGTCCCTGCAGCATGCTTTCAGACACTGAATTTTCATGCTCATTTCACTTTATAAGCACTTCCACACATGAATAGAGCCTCCAGGTTTTGTGGGAAGGAGCAAATTAAAACAGAAGGGAAGAAAGAACACTATGTTGTGCAGTGTACGTGGGATGAAGAAACCATACTGAACAGTAATAACAAAAATTAATGTATGCCACAGCACAGAAGGGTACACACTGACTATAATAAAAACATCGTCAGTATGGTGTAAGGGACAATACAAGGTTCAATATTTAGCTGGGACAATCCCCAGTTATTTGCAGTGATCTGTAGCTCTAGAATGAGCACTAGTACTTCTGGGGATTTCTTCCCCACTCCCTTGATATTTTTATATTGATACCTGCGTCCAGTATCAATAGAGGAATTTCATTGATTTATTACCAGCACGTATTTCTGTGCTCATATTTTCAATTCAAGAACACTGTCTTGAAAATATGTTGCAACACACTGTTTTCCTTCCATAATCAAGGAATCACACATAGCAGATGGGATGGGAGTTTCTCAGCTGTACTGAAGATGATATGACTACAACTACAAAGACATTTGGATGTTCTGAGACAGTATTGCAGTATGTCAATTTTTATAAACATTCATTCTTCTTACCAGAGTATTAACTAGTCATTAAGACCTTAAACCTAAAAAACACTTACGCACTTTACTGTAGCTGATCCTTCCATTATTACTCACACCTGTAAAATTACAAAGAAATTATGCAAGTGTTTGTGAGACCAGATCCTATGATCACATCACTGAGCTTTACCTCAAATAGACCAAATGAAGATAAATATTATTCTAGAAATTCATGAAGCCATTTCTATCAGAACCTTATTTGTTCTGGTATGTGTGTATATATATCTATATATATAAATAAAAACTGGCAATACAGAATGGCTTTCCAAGTTATTTATATATTAATACAAGGGCTGTGGACATATTTCTGAACATATCTTGTAATTATTCTTAAAAGCATGCTTGGAGTTTGTGATAAGGCATTTTATATTATTAGACAATACGGCCACATTTTTCGCTTCCATTAGAGAGCATATTCATATGTATTTAAAGTATTTGCATAAATTTTACAGCTAATTGGGCTTTAAATATGCATGATTTGGATGTTACTTCTAGCCAAATATCATTAGTATGTCACTGGCAAGGAAAAACTTCAGGAGCAAATTTAGTTGTCAACTGCTATGAATTACCATTTAGTATTTTTAATATTAATCTGAACACCTATATTAAGGTAGAACCTAGAATTAAAAAAGCAGGCCAGCACATTGTTAGTGTGCTTGAATCAAGACAGAATGAAAAATAAACAACAAATCCAGCTAATTGGTTTTATATGCTAAAACATTAGAGACCATGAAAAGCTTCTATACTCAGATAAAAGAACAGCCCAAAGTATAGTTCATACAGTGCACAGTTCATAAGGCTTCAGATGTGTATTAGGCATTTCACTGGTCCCTCTATTTTTATGGTTTATGCATCTGATTTGGTGATGCCTTCCTCACCCAGAAGCCAATTATGATGAATATAATTTGTAAGGCAGATTTAATTATATATTGGTTTCTGGTCACTAAATAATTTGATGATGTTCCAAAAAAAAAAAAAAAAAAAAAAAAAAAAAAAATCAAACCAAAACCAAAACTGTTGGCTATTCTACATTCAGTGCAATAGCTCTGTGCTACTGCACTGAACAATATGGGTTGATCCCTGCTAATCCCATTTTGCTGCTGATGGATGAGTGCTGCATACTGAGATTGTACTGACATCAGGCAATGAAGGAGGCTGTGTATGAAATGAGACTGAATACAGACGGTTAGCTGATTCAGTGGTATCAATGCACTGCGAAGAAATCAAAAGTTATGTATCTATTTTTATGTCTGTGAACTACGAATGGGACAATTTGTTCTGCGTTAGGAGTACTGTTCTTTAAAGGTAAATCTTCAAACAACCCACACAAAGCTGGAGCTAATGACAAGGTGGGTCTCTGGATTGGAGCTGCAGTTACCTGAAATCAGAGGCAATTGTTCTGAGAGGGGAAACATTTGGCAGGTGGCTGAACAAGACAGGCTATTGCAAAAGGGTGACTATGAGAAAAGGTCCCTGGTACTGTGTGCATGGGATCTACGTCTGGAGTTGCAATCCTGAACCAGAACTTTGTAATAAAGATTTTATAGGACGTGCATGTGAAAACAAGATAGAGATAAGCATGGATCTAAGGTCAGCACAGATGCTGTGTTCTATGGATGTAGCCTCTACACCTCTACTGTCCAATAATAAAGCCATTTTCCAGGAAGGAAAAAACCTAGCATGCATAAAATTATATCCTTCAGTGAACACAGCCACCAGAATGAATGACAGGGGACAAGACAGGTGATTTGCTAGGAAGAAAAAAATAAAACAAACCAAAATTGGACAACAACAAAGGAAGAAAATTCTATTGCAAAGGCCTTCAGTATTCAGAGCCTATCCTTGCCTTCTGGCGTGAGCAGAACAATTGCAATGCCCTTCAACTCCCATTTCTCAAGTTCATGATGTAATAATGGTTGAAAATAAACCAAATATGAAGAACCACATTCTGAAGGCTGTTTGTATCCCTGACTTTGTCTGTAGATCAAGATATTGGCTTGCCTTTGACTTACTAAACTGTGCCTTTTAAGTTCCTTTAAGAACAGATCCAAAGCTGACAAAACTGGGTGCGTTTGTGTTTCTCTGTTCCATAGAGTAAAGGAGCTGTTTATTCTTCTTAAAACCAAAAATAAGGAGATAGTTACTCCTGCCCTCTGAGATCACCACCATCACAGCAAAAGATGTACTTTCAAGATCTTAATGCAGCTATTACTTTATAAACTATTCTCCAAGAGAGTATATCCTCTCATGCATCCTAGCTGGATATTTACAGTTAGTACAGGCTTCTTAGCACTCTGATTCTAGAAGATGACAAGGCAAACCTTCCTCATTTAAACAATCCTCTCTCAGTAATTTTTTAAAATAATGTCCACTGAAGGATTTTTCTTTTTCCCCAGGCTATGTTCTCTACCAAACTTGTCTTTCACCAAAAGAGATAACTCATTTCCTGACTTTTTTTTCAGCAATTATTGTTGCCCAAACCCTGATTCCTATGGTCTGTCTGAAAACTACTCCTTACAAAATATCTTGATCTATGGAAAAGTTAGAGCTTCCTTTAGAAACACAGAACTGGCTGGTGTAGCAAGCATTTTCCAATCCTACTTTCTAAGAAAAGTACAGTTGAAAATTAAATACAAAGGAAATCAGAAATCCACAAAGTAGTATCCTGTTCATCTCCAAAAGATCAAAGATAGAACAGATACTAATATCTGCATTCTGGAAATATCAGAAAAAGGAAGCAAATATCAGCAAAACTTTTTAAAGTGACATAAAATTATGAGTTAAAGATTCCATATAGCAGAAGCAGTTTATATTTATCATTCCTCCTCTTTCAAGAGGATCAACACTGCAGTGTATCCAAAGATACTTTACTAAGGCATTAACAACATTCTGCAGTTGTAGGAATAGGATGCATTGTATCACCCAATATTAGCATATAAGCTTCCTTTTGGCCAATGAAATAGGGCAGAAAACAAAAAGGAACACTAAAAGCTAAGTAATTCATTTGTGATGAGAAACATTTTCTTGAATTGTATTTCTATCATACTACTACTGAGAATACTACTGAGAAGTTAAGTTTGTCAAAGTTTGGCAAGAAGCACACAAAAGACATCTAAGTATTGCTGTTTGAGATAATTCTCAGATAATATTACAAACTGCAAATAGATCATACATGGTTTAAGATGGCGTAAGCACATGCTTCTGTAAAAAAGTTATTGTGTGCTCTGTCCCTTGATCTGGCACCAAGAACATGGCCCAGTTTAAAGTAAAATCTTTTTATTCCTCCTGGATCCAGTTTTCAGCTGAATCAATTCATCAATCCAGTTCACTACGTTCACTGATGCTGGTGACAATTTTTCATGCTCATTTCCCAACATGAAAGTAATATTCTTAGCACTTATTTGCTTAATTAAATTCAATCTGTCAGAAGTATATACAGGTCTGAACAGAATAAGCATCAGTAACGAAGGCAAATACAAGTGAAACTATGTGGGACAACTGCTCAGTGTCTCAGAAAGTACTTAGTAGCTATCAGTGCAAAAATACTACACTGTTTCAGAGCAGACCTGTTGTATCAACCCATAAAAAGTTGTAAAAACCATCATTTTCCAAACTATTGAGCATGGCCCATGATGAAGACAGGACAATAGCAATGAATATACTAGGGATTAAGGGTAAAAATGAAAAACATTAATTGCTTTGTTTTGCCAAATGTAAATTCAACTTTCAAAAGCTTGGTATGCAACAGATTTTGGATGGGGTTTTAAAAGTTTGCAGGGCAAATTCCATTGCCTCTACTTTTGCTCAAATTACCCAGCACCGTCAGTTTTCAGTGGGAAAATTCATAATCATTTACTGGTGTGAAGTGTGTGTGTGGGAAATTCAGATCACTCGGTACTCGAGAAAAATCTCAGATGTCAGCAGAGCAAGAAATAACACTAATCAGCATAAAGATGAAATATGACTTAAATGCTTCAGCCCAGGAAACAGAACAAAGCAACAAAATCTCTTCCAGTCATTATTACTGCAGATCACATTCAAAAGCAGTATCATCATTAATATGGACTTTACAGCAGCCAGTACATTTATGGGATCAGCCAAAGACTTGTGTAAGAATACACACAGGCAAGATGGCTACCCTGAATGCTTCTAGTCGACTTCATATTGCTGAAGTACTATTTAGAGACATGAAAAGGTGACAGAATTCTCAGACTAGTGCACGGCATCACCAATGATAAGGCAAACAGTTTTATTTATAATACCTAAGCAATTACTATCAATTGCATTACTGCATAATGATTTTGAGAAGAAAAAAAATAATTTGAAGCCATATGAAGTTGATGTGAGACCCACTAAATTCAAACAATAACGGGTTTGTTTACTGAAAGAGCATCTATGATTGTTCTTGCACACCACATTAAAATATCAATTTAGTTAGCTTTTGATAAATAGCTGTATAGCACTTCAATATCTAAGCAAATCAAACCAATATGTAACAACATATCAACCTGTTAGAAGAACTAGAGTAGTCAAATGTAAGATAAATCAAAAGAAAAGGTTAGTGAGGAAGTCCATGCAATTGTGAAAACTGAAATAAAACCCAACAACATTCAGTTGAGTGGGGCTTAACAGAATTCTTACATTTTCTGGAAAGTGAAAGATATGCTTACCGTTATCTTTGCTGCTGTTTTCTTCAATTGTCATTTGTTCTGCTAGCTCAGACAGTGATTCATCAATGGTCTGGCTTCCACGCAAGGTTAAGGAAAGTCTCCTCTTAAACTTTTTCATTCTATCAATATTAAGTCTGGCTTAAGGAAGCCTGAAAAAAAATATTATAAAGCAAACAGTGAGAAAAAATTAGTTCATCAGAAAACGAAATTTAATTACCTCGCATAAAAAAGCAGGAAGTCTTACAGAAAATTTAGTCAATATGGAAGGTATCTTTAAAACAATATCCTTAAAGTAAGATTACTCGTTACTGGACTGAAGAGGAACATCTTGAGAGGTAGGTGCCTGCCCATATGTTTTTGCAATTTTTATTTCTGTTAGAGAAAATTAGAATCCTTGGGTTGTTCTTTTTTTTTTAAAAAAAAAAAAAAGAAGCGAAACCAAATGGCTAAATTGTTCACTAATTTTACAATCCAATAATAAAACAAACAGTCATCTAAGAACTTGATGAGTGTGCACTCTGTTGCCTCATCCTCCACCTCTTTCACCAAACCCACTGAGGAGGTGGAAGAGGCTGGAACCTTCTCTCTCTTTTAGCAGATTTGTTTACGGATGAGAAGTTACTGAACTTCTCTATATTTTGCCCTGTTCACAAAAGGAGGAAGGGAGCAACACTAAAAGCCTGAAATACAAAAGCAATTCTCAAACCCGATCCCACCTTGGGAAACAGATAGCGAGGGCCTGATAACAATGGCTGGAATGGATGTTTCTCTATAGTCAGGCAATAAGACTAAACTGGGAAAAAAGCAGGAGGCACTTTCTCCATGGGAAGTGGTAAATAAGCAAGCAATAACAAAAAAGGTCCAGGCTAATAAACATGTTGCCACAAGTCTAAGCTAGTAAGTGAACTTTACAGTGTGCCATACGTTTGTTCTTACATGACAAGAAGCACAATTCTGTCCTTTGTTACTCCATAAGGACAATTCATCCTAGATGTTATTTCATAATAACTTGTTCATCTGCTCATAGCCTGAAAAAATCACATAGGCAGCATCAAACACAAGCATAGCATACTTTTAAGTCTGAGCTGCTCATATATTTTTTCCTGCATCAGCCCCTTTGCATTTCAAAATGCGTAATTCACATACAAAGTTTAAAAAAAATCAAATTTTCCCCAATGTCCTCCCTTAGAGAAATTCAAGAAGTAGTACGCTAAAGATTTACATTTAATAATAAATTGTGAATATGATTACTTTTCTGTTGACATCATCCCTTTAAGTATACACATTTCAAACTTACTCTTTGTTTAGATGCTACATAATAAAAAGGAGAAATCAGTGGAACAAGTTGGAAGTGGTTGCTTGTGGAAGGAGAATGCATACATAGATTAAACCATTACAAGACCAGATTGCACAGGACAGTAAGTAACACTTAAGGATGGATAAGAGAAGACCTTTGTGATTTCTGCCCCGAAGTCTGAGATGGACAGTACAATCACTGGCAAAGCAGCAGCTGCATCCAAGGGGAGAGGGGCAGACTGCAGAACAGGGTAACATCTTAGACAACCGCAGCTACTACAGGCAGAAATAGTCAGGCACTGGGTATATGTAGGAAACAATAATGTAACTGCTGGAGATACAGTTAAGCTAGCAGTTTCAAAACTGCCCTTTTAATGTGTTACTGTATGTGCAATAAAGCCACACCTTAGTATAAATAATTTTGCGCTCTCACTCAAAAGCAGGATATTCTTATTGTTAAGAAACTGCATTCGGAGAACATTCCAAGGGGAACATTTACTTCTCCTGTTCAGGACCCGCTTTAAAGGTCCTTACTTGAAACTGCTTTACTTCTAAAATTATGGCCTATGTTTCTTTTAAAAAACCCTAGTTTTTAAAAAAAAAAAACATTAGAAGGGCCTTATATGTGGTTTTACTCAATTCTCCTATAGTGTTCTTTGAAACCTGCATCTTCCTACATGTATTATTCTCAAAAAGGATACACGCAATTTTTAGCTATGTAATGCCCTAGAGCTACCTGACAGCATAACAATTTCTTTCTAATTTTCCACTTGGGCAGTAACTGAAAAAACAGATGCCTGTATATAGAAACAGGCTGTTCCTGGCTTTTGATCTTGCAAATATTTAAGCCTACACAATTTTTTAATCAAAAAGAAGGTCTACTGCTGAAGAATATTACACAGAAATTAATAGACGTGGATTAGAACATCCAAGACACATTTTAAATCTCAAACTAATATAAAAGCAAACATTTTGCTAACTACAGTTACAAAATTTCTCCTGCTAAAGGATGGTTTCACAGAGTGCTGAAGTACCATTTTTGCTGATTCTGAGTTAAGTTCAGGGCTTGATTTTGAAAAAAAATAACAGTAAAAATGAATCAGGAGTGGAAATCCATGTGTGAGAGAATGTTTCCTTCTATTGAAATGTAATTAAGTTTCTTTAAAGGTGCTCACTGATATGAAACTGAATTTTCCTCACTTAAAGCATCAGTATTCTTGCTAATTCAGATGTATAAGGATGCATATATTTAATTAAAAAAAAAAAAAAAAAAGTTACCAGTATCTAGCACTTTAAATCTCCTATCTTTTTGACTTATTTATTGTCACTTCTGGCCAAAGCTGCAAAACCTGCTAAATCTTGGTAGTTTGAGACAAGGCCTCAGCAAACAGAGCTTTAAAAATATGATCTATGCAATCCAAAGCTAGCATCGGTTCTCTAAAATGACAGAAATTTCACAGAAAAGTCCACTTTAACTCAGTTTAACAAAATTAAAGGGAAATTGTCTGATAGTAATTTTCAGTAATTTTTAACAGATGCATACTTATTTTCTTCATTTAACAGTAAATCTAATTGAAATCCAAAATGGTGTTACATGATTAGTAATATATATCTGGTGGCTATGACTGGATGCAGTAAGACTCCTGACGTTCCCGCAAATTCTTACCAATTGTGAGAAGAATATGCACTGTTATTTTTATTTTTGAGCTTTAGAACAGAGCCCAGGGCTATAAATTTATCTACTCTGCTGAAGTTGTACCCAAATCAAATATTTTAGATGTCACGGCAGATAGACGCATATGCTTGAATGCAAATAATGCAAATTCTAGTCTTCTGCAGACAGAATGAGGACAAGCAATCTGATATGATACTATCTGATACAACCCAGAAAAGCTGGCAGAGACATACTTTTTCAATCCTTATACTGATATGAAATCAAGGAAGAGACAATGTATTAAGGGAACTGCTGCTTCTCATAATCTCCAGTCTAAACCTGATGAGTTGGTATTTTTGTCTTTAAAAGCAACACAAGTTAATCCTTGAAAACTATGCTAAAATTTACCTTTCACATACATTTTCCTCCTTAAAACCTGTGGAAAAAGTATTTTCCAGCATTCATTGTGATTAAGTCAGTATGCCTCCATAGTCTTACACTCCTGCTTTGCTATCAATGTCACTAAAAGCCACCTCTATAACGCAGCTCTGAAAACAAACTCCACAGTTTTTAAATCATCCAGGTAAGATCAGATTTAAACAAGTGGGTTCTGACTCCCTTTCTCTCTATCAGACCAATCCTTCCCACAACGCCTGTAGTAGAGCATTTCATTTAGCAAACACAGATGTCCACAACAACCTGGATATACAGCAGACAGACATTAAAACATCTTGATTCCAAAGTAATAGCTCAACTAGATTCTGCACTCCTCTATTCACCAAAAATCAGAGAGTTTATAAACTGAGAGCCAAAATTCTCAAAAATCCCCACCACTCCCTTCAAGCTCCTAAACCCTTGGTACCTTGAAAGTAAAAAAAGGAATGGGTAGGACCTTTGTAGACAATTAACATATGCTGTGTGCTTAATCCTTATAAATTTAAACAAATTCAGCTAAAATTTTGAAAAGCAATGAAGTTATTTAATAACTTAAATTTTAGCTGGTTTATTTCAGGAGGCCACAAATTCCAAAAGTTCACTAAGATTTTGCTGATTCAAAGCCCTCTGAAATCAATGGGAACCTGTCCTTCAAAAAGCTTTGGATCAGACTAAGTGCTGACTTTTCTGTTTCCAAATGTTATATTGCATTTAGATGCACCTACATACAGATTAAGCATCTTAAAATTACTTTTCCACATAGATACACACTGAAGTTGCTCTTTGACAGTTTTTACAAGCTGCTTTACAAGGCAGTAGGTGTTTTCCAAATATCTAAAGGCAGTTCTTGTTCTGAAAAACTCATTATCTGAAGATGACCGCTAAAGCAGAAGGAAAAGGGCAGGAACAGAAACCCCATGAACAGCAGCACATCAATAGCATGGACACAGCACAGCCCTTAATGATGGGTTAACAAACTAAAACCACAGGCATAACACATCAAAGAAGGCAGGTTAACAGCAGCCCCATATGAAAACCTAGGATAGGAGGATGCACAAACACATGTGAGGGACACAGCCTGATTTCATAAAATCACTACAACCAAATGGGTACATTTACACAGCAGTGGGTCAAACTGTGAAAAGATGGTTTAAAAAATTGCAGAAAGGATTGGTACAGTAGAGCTTTGAAGAGATATGAGCATTCTGTCAAGAGACTTACATTTTTTAGGATCTAAGATGGAAAGTCAAGTAAGCTATTGTCAACTTAAATAAAAACAGTCCACACAGCTAGAAACAAGAATAACAAGAATCATTAAATTCTCTCCCATATGGTCCTCAGCATTACAGTTGTTAATGATTCGCAAAATCCATGGTGTCATTCACTGTATGATTCAAATCTGAACAGACAATAATTTAACCTTCCAGTACCATTTTAATTACACCAGTTACAGTTAAATATTTTCAAGCATGTAATAAACTACACATCATTTGTTTGGCTGTATTAATAACTTCATAGGCATGTAACTTAAGAGTAAGTATTTCTGAAGGTGATAATCCACGTTTGTGTCAGAGAGGTCTGAAAAGCTTAGAGTACTGCAAACAGTATTAATTAAAAACAGAAACAGGAAACATCTGTCAAGGATATTGTCCCCTTAATCTAAAAAGAAAAACAGCTTTACATAGTGTTTATATTTATTAAATTGTTCTCAATCTACCTGAATTAAGAAAAAAAAAAAGCTACTGATCACATAAGCATGTCACA